CCTCCAACCTACTAGCGATGGCCTCCAACCTACTAGCGATGGCCTCCGACCTACGAGCGATGGCCTCCAACCTACTAGCGATGACCGCCAAACTACTCCTACCTAATAGCAATGGCCTCCAACCTACTCGTAATGGAATCCAACCTACTTTCAAGATGACCTGGCAGCAGCCACCTGACTTGAAGGGTCAAGCAAATGAACCCACTCGATTGATCGTTGATTGGTTTGAATGAAGGGTCTAATTTTGATCATCCGCCAAATCTACCCTGGTTCTACCAAGCAGGTTTGTTGCATTCTGTCGCTGTATGCACAACCTGCCCCACATCCCAATGAAGCACTCCAAGCACTCCCTGTCCAACACTCCCTGTCCACTCCACCTCCACTCTGGCCCTGCTCGATTCCAAACAGCCAAGCGTCTCATGGCTGAGGATGTGTCGTGGTGGAGGCTCAAAGGTTTCGCTCAAGCCTTGAAGCCGCTCGTTGCCGATCAACGCCTCAAGCTCAGCCTCCAACTTCTCAAAGGCCTGAGCGAAGCTGTGATGCGATATCGATATCTGGAGAAGCGAAAGGGACTCCTCAGCCAAATGGGCAGAAACTCTTGCAAAACATATACAAACAATATATTAGTAGAAACAAGAAGCTATTCGGAACAAGAAGCTATGTTGGATTATTTAGTTTAGATGCCTCTCAAAACTAAGACCTTTAGTAACCACTCGGACCTCGTGTTGGACAAATCGACGACTCCCTCAATGATGCTGGTTGAGAGTGGTGGTGGGTTTTGAAGACTGAGAGGTTGGGCTAGAGAAGTTCGGAAGGGAATGGAGGAAACGATCCATCTCACACCTGTTGGGAGATGGGGGAGGCTTGAGTGGAGCTTTAAGTTCGTGGAACAGTCCGAGCATACTCTTGATGTTCAAAACACTTCAAGACTTCAGAAATCACAGAAGTGGCAGGAAGACACCTGATGCAAAGATACGGGCAACCTTGGATTGGCAGCTTGGAGGAATGCACAGCATCGGTGATACACACAAAGGAACCACCGACAAGGAAACATTGTCACCAATGGACTCATGGCACCACCCATGCATTGTTAAAACATCTACAGTAAATTAGGACTTCCTTCATCACAAGTCGTACAAAAAAGGTTGGTCCTATGTATATAGGTCCTAGAAGGAAAAGGTGCTGGCGCAGCAAAGCCCAGCCTGAACCAACAGGTTGTAGTTGAGCCTCTTCTTTTCCTCTGAGAGGGGCATGATCTCTCCCTTCTCGTTCTTCGCTCCTTTCACTTTGGTCACTTGATCCAGGAGAAGCATCACCTGATCCGCCACATCACTGGGCTCCTCGACACCGCGCGACACCCGTCAAACCAGCTCTTCTAGAAAAGCCTGCAGACGTAGCCCTAGTTGATTGATGTTGATTCTGCACAAGAGCAAAGCCGGAGAATTGGTCAGTTTGGGCCATGCATCTTCCCAACGGTGTTTCCTTGCCAACCTGAATCTCGATCTACGACTTCGCCGAGTCTTCCGGTCATATGACACCTCTGTGACCTTCGGAACAGCCCATGCGAAACCTGTCCTCATAGAGGTTGGTTTTCCAGTAGAGCAGGTTCATGTGATCCTCCAAAGACAAGGAAACTAGGAAACTAGAGGCCAGTGAATGCAATCTTGTAACAAAACCGCAAAGAACCACATCTGTGTATTAGTTGGAACAAAAAGCTACTGGGTTGGAGGCCATCGCTATTAGCTTGGAGGCCATTACTACTAGTAGCAAGAAGCTACTAGTAGCGACATCCCCTTTTGGGCCACGATGAGCCGCAGCTCCACACCTCTGTCGCTTCGTCAAAGCGCCGCAGGTAGTGTGCCGGGTCCCGGCCCAAGGGCGGCGCTGAGGGGTCAGAGTCGTTGAGCAAGGGCCGCACCTTAGCGGATGACACGACCTTTCGGGGCTTGGAAGGGCTTGGATGTTGGTTTGGGGCCCAGAACGAAGCCTTTATTGACCGTCCAAAAATGGAGAATACAAAAGAGTCCTGTCAGAGAGAGTTTGGAACTTCACGTGGGAGCAATGAGAAACATGGCCGACAGCATCAAAGAACGTTCAAAACATGTTCCTGACTCCAAAGCGATGCACTTGTTCCTAGTAGCGAACCTTGTTTCTAATAGCAAACATTGTTACTACTAGTAAGGCACTTGTTACTAGAAGCGATGCACTTGTTCCTAGTCGCACTCCAAACGTACCTATCCGGACACATCGGAAAGCACAGCACAGCTGATCACAAAATATCAAGACCATCTTGACCATCCTCGGTCTGGCCATCCTCGGTCAGATCAGCGACTGTGTCCGGAAGCTCAGCTTCGGTGACGGTGTAGTCCAAGGTGTTGGCCCGTTGGAGCTCTCCGTAGCCCTTGGTGAGCAAATCCGAGGCCACCTGAGTGAAGGTCACTAGCTGTCACTAGCTCCACAACAAATGGCGTTTGTCTTAAATCTTGGATAGTGGTGCGAAGCATCACCCCAGGGTATGTGGATGCTTTTTTGAATGGCTTTTTTTTGGGAGATTGATGCTGCAAAGCGGTTTCCAGGCAGTTTTGCAACCGTGTTTTCCAATCCTGAGCTATTCCGAACCCACCACTCAATAGATGGTGAGGATGTGCAGCTGGTTTCGCTACTAACCATATAACTACAAGACATCCATTCCTTCGTTTAGAAAGCCGATAAAAACCTCCCAAATTGTCAATCTTCCCCACGAACCAAACAAACATCCCACGGCCTCGCAGTGAGCAACTTCGAAGTGCAGCTGCACGCGCAGGGGGATCAGCCGATTCGACTGCATCTCTTCCAAGAGTTCCAAGCATTTCCTGAAGCTACTAGTAACCGAGGGCACCGCTACTAGGAGCAAGGACGCCACTAGTAGCTCCTGCCATCGCTACTAGGAGCAAACAGCGACTAGTAACAAAGTGAGTTTACATGCTGCCAGTGTGCTGCCAAAGTGAGTTTGGATATGTTTGGATGCTTCTCGACGTCTGGTTTGGTTCAGATGCTAATACGGCAGTATCAGGGTGTAGGGCCCCAAGGGCACATGTGAACACTTCAATTGCATTCCCCGAGGTTGGAGTGTGAGACTTGGGTGTTGACTTTTGACCCAATTAAACGAAGGAATGTGTCCACTTTTCTTCCCTTAGACTTCTTTGTTTTAAGCAAGTCGCAAGAAAATGGAACACTGGAACACAAGAGACAACCAACAAAATTCTCTGGGCAAACAAAGTCTTTGAGTCTTTGAAGCTCAGGCTCTGCAAGGGTTTGTGAACTCGAAAGCGATTCTGATCTGACATGAGTTCCCGTGCAATGTTCCACATCACCACTGCGCATTCTTCCACCAAGTCATAGGCTTCTATCCTGGAGGATGAAGCATCTGGACGTAGGTCGTGAAAGCATTTTCTGTGTTGGGAGGGTCGGGACTTCTTTTTCGAGTCCACATAATGCATTTCTACTTGCATTTCTCTATTCTCAAAGTACCTGCACTTTTCAGAAAATCATATCAGGGTCTCTGTCACATCCTGATGCTTTTTGTTAACAAAGTTCTGTTAAAACATATTCCTTGACCACCAACAAGATCCTATTCTGAAACAATAACAATACAATATAATTTGCCAAATTTACTTCCCACGCTGAATGGTACCTTCCAATAGTCCAAATTAGGTAGGACACAGTTTAACCAATCTTTTGGCAGCTATCCACCTCTAAACCTCTGATTTGCACAGCCATAACGGCCAGGGCCCACTTTCAAGGGTGTCCCCAAACCATCTGCCGATCCAGCCAGATCCAGCGATAACCACTAATAGCCTCTCCTTCTGGCGATCATGATGCACTGCTCCACCAGCTTCACCGATCGATGCCTGGTCTCCACCTCTCGCTGCTCCTGATCAGCCGCAGAGAGCAGCATCTTCGAGGTAGGATCCTCTTTCTTCACCTCGTTTAGCTCGACGTGTTTTCATTAAATGCGCTGAGCCAACAGAATCAAATGAAACAATGATAGATCCAAATAAATGCAAAGAAGTCATATGGGAGGAAGCTGAGAGCTTAAGAACGTATTTGTGTTGGTGAAGAACGCACCAAATCCGGTCCTAACTGAGGCAATTGACTGGCAGCTCTATCTAGGGCTTGCTTTTGTTGTTCATTCATTTCTTCATTTTGGTCTTTGACTCGCTCGTCCGTCTGTCCGTTCATTCATTGGTTCACTTTTGATTCGGAACAGAATGATGAGAAGGACATGGACATAGAATGATATCATAGTGATATCATCCTGCGCTACCCTTACTTCAAATGGCACACAAAAAGACATGAACACTTCTGAGTCCTGAAACAAGGATCCCCTTCGAATTCGGCCCCGCTGGACAAACATGCGCCCTTCAACCAAACTAGGCCAAATCGGCCCATCAAAACGTTCGAGTTCCACTCGAAGCCGTGACTGGCCATTCCGCTACCGTAAGAACAGTTGGCTGTCGTGATCAATCGACAGTCTGGCATCTGCCAGAGTTGAGGGCGTTCACATTCAGAAGCCAAAAGCACGAATGTCTCGGGATGTGTTGGGGTTGTTCTATCAAGTTCCGTTAAGATCACTAATGCCGATGGACTTTTTAGAGGAAATCCGTTGGGGGATAACAAAGGCATTGCTTCTTCTCGCTGACATGAACACAAGAATCAAGCAGGCGTGATCCTCTGTCTCCATCAACTGCCACACTCATCAGGATGTTCATGCTTTTGCCGCAATTTTGCAACTCGGTTTTTCCTTTTGATCGGAGCCAAACCACTGATCCACCACCGCTCCAAACTTCGATCGAAGGCACTGTCGAAGCATGCCAGACCTCACACTCCGCCTTCGAGAGGTCCAACAAGATTCGTCCACGCCCCGGAGGCATTTGGAACTTCTCCAAGCGGCAAATCATGCACAACGCCAACGGCCATTGCTTGGCCACCTGGGCGGGATACACCGAGACATGTGTCAGTGCCCGTGCGCCGAAGACCTTGCTTTGGACGCCTTTTAGGGGGGTTTTGACGGTGTGAAAGCGACATCTCCGTCAATTAGGAAGTTGCTCTTTGTGCATCAGCTGACCTTGAAGCGGATTCCCATTGAGGTCCTTCCGTTTGAATCACTTCCTTTGGAACAGGGAATTGCAAGAAGCTTTGTTTCACTGGTCACTAGGCGTCACTAGGCAGGCAAATTGCATTTAGCGGCAACCTGTGGCAACAACCCTTGCCATCTGACAAAGCAACATGAGCATCATCAACCAAACATGTTTTTGAATGAAGAGCTTCCAGCACACCCAAATGAAGACTGAACATCCTCCAGCCGGATACGATTTCAGATTCGACAGGATCATCGGGGGGCCTTTTTTTGACGATCCAACTAATAAGCGATGGCCAATGGCCTCCTCCACCCTATGACGATCCAATGGCAAGGGGCACAGGTTGCTCTCAAGGCCAAAGCCAAATCGATGAGACTCTGTGGCTTCACATTGCCTGAAATTCGAGCAGCTATACCAGCTGGTCTGTGGACTTCAAAGGGTTTGATCGTTGAGCAAAACTGCAAAACGCCTGTTTGGGGTAAAAAAGAAAAGAAAACCGAATGAGGAAGACTGAATGAGTTTGAATCGTTTTTCGGACTTGATCCTACCCGGTCCGACCCAAGCATTGGAATCATGCAACACCCTGAGTTCTGGCAACATGCTTTGTGCTCGCGGTCATACAAATATCAACAAATCCCAATCAAATCCTGAAACAGTCCAGATTGTCCTTCCCCCTATCCACCAAGTGGCCACGTACCACTTGTCCACCATCGGGTCTGGGTGCCCGTGGGTCGGTGCTGAAGGACTGCACCGCGGCACGAAGGTCGAAGTCGGCATCGATGGTGGCCCAGGCCTTGAGGAGCTCCTGTCGGCGCTTGGCTTGAAGAGACGTTGGGGAGTGATTGATTGAGGGAGTTCCCTTGGACATCTTCTTTAAGATCTTTTGGAGGTGCCAATGACATGATGAATCATGTGTGTTGTGCTCAGGAGTGTTGAGTTAGGATGGCATGGCACTTCATTGATGTGGTTCAGTGGGCGAACATACAGTAGCAGTCGAAAGCTTGGCCTCAGGAATTGGTCCAATGAAATGCTATGAAACACAACTTCGGTAGGTCTTATGTTTGCCTTTAACTGGGGTCGCTCAGTTTCCGTCTTGCTCCAAACTAGTTTGCTTCAGTCTTAAGGGCTTCCTTGCCATTGTCTAGAGCAGTCCTCAGCTGCTGCATCAGACGTAGTTGCACCATTGAGGACGAACAAAGCCGCACCCAGCACAGTGCTGCCACTAGCCTTTACAATATCGTCCTTTGCTTTGCCTTCAGGGTGAAAGCTTGTTGCCCAAGTCATTGCAAAAAGGCAGGCCTTGGGGATTCCTACCTTTACATCATGGGTTTTGACTCCAATAATTCGTGGATCCTTGCTTTCTGACATGGCCTGACAACATTCATGGTGCTTTACTGCTACATCTGATACTGTATTCTCATGAATGCGACCCCAGCCTGGAGCTTTCCGATAAAAATATGCCCTTGCATTCCACACTAGCTGTCGCAAACGTGTATTTCTGTCGGCAACGGCAGGGTCACTCCCTGACTCTTTCATGAGCTCATCCAACAGTTGATTCGCTTCATCCGCCTTCTTCTGTGCATCTGCATCTTTCCCTGCATCCTCCAGCCCAAATGCCAGATTCAATGTCAGCTCGATCATCCAGGGCAAATCGATGGTCACCGGAATGGCTGCACCTCCGGGAGCCTTTCCTCCGGGCTTTCCACCGGCCGCGCCACCCGCGGCGGCGCGCGCCGCGCGCAAGCCGTCCAGGATCTGTGTGGCTTCGTTGATGATATGGCGTTGCCAACCGTTGCGACACATCGGCCGAGCTACGGCCCAAAAAACGAGGGAGGCGTTGTAAATCAGGAAGCCATATCCTGAAAGAAGGATCTCTCAGTCTCTCTTTCCCTCTCCGTATGTTTCAGTCTCTCTCTCTCCCTCTCTCGCACCCAGTCTCTGCACACTCGATCCGCAAGTCTCAAAAGTTGTGACACAAAATTCGCGATGTTCGACTTCATGTTGAACAAAATAACGCACAACTTAAGTTTCATGAGTGTTTGGAAACAAGACCTGTGAAGAAGTTGTGTTCAGAATCTGGTCAACTCAACTTGGTGCGGTCTAGGCGCTGCTGTCATTCTGCGCCCAGCCAGTCTCATTGGCCTTTGCCAATGCCTGTCCAAGTGAAGCGGCACGGCTCTGGAAGGCCCTCCATTCAGATCAACCAAAATGCACAAAGGACCCAAATGGGAGAAGAATTCGCAGGCCCGTTTAGAGGTTTTGTTTAGAGGGTCTTTACACTACCTGAAGGAACAACGCCTTCAATTGAACCCTAGAGCCTAGAGCTTTGCCCTAGTTCTAGCAGGTCACCCGCTGGTACAAAGACCAAAAGCCTCGGTGACAGGGATTTTACTTGGTTTTAGTGCTGCATCAGGCGCGAGGATTGCCCATCAAACTAGCACCTTTGACTCTTGACGAACCAAGGAGTGAAAAGAACACAAGTTTCCAAGAACCAAGTTTCACTCTTCTGCTGATCACACTTAATCTCACCCTTGCAAAACACAAAGGAGTGAAAAGCAGCAAAAACACCACACTCATCGGCTGAAAGTGTAATCACAAATCACACAAATCCTTTAAAAGACATAAACACACTGCAAAATGGCATGTCAATGTATAGACCTTGTACCATTCCCCCCACACTGATAGAGCTACACCACTCTACTTGTTGGGCAAAAACCTGTGAGCTGGACTCCTTTCATCCGCCTTCATCAGGTATTGCTTCAAAGCATACTGAAGCTGCCTGAGAATGCTAGCTCTCGCAAGTGCTCTATTACAACCGGAAAGCGCCAAAAAACATCCAAGTTGTACCATACATTTGCACGAACATCACCATGCCATGCGAGGTTTGTGATTTTACATTGTCCACCTGTGCCATGTTGCACCTGTCCCGAACCATGTTGTACCAACACTACAATCACTACGAAACCACATGAATTGCTCAATTTGGTCAAGCCACTGAAGCAAATGATGGCCTTTAAGCCGATGCTGTTCGCCCAAGCGTGCTTCGCAAAGACATCGCACCAGCAAAGACCGCACGGTGAACCTGAGGGATGTGATGAGAACACTACACCTGGGGGCATTCTCCAACACAGAGTGGCTCATCCGTTCGTGTGGATGAACCCCAACTGCACTTCACCACATCCCACCGTCTTCTCACTCTGTCGACCTGGATCAGTTGGCTTCACCCTCTCACAGTACCAAGGGGCTGATCATCTTCGCATCCCAAACGTTCATAAAGCTCTAGAGCTCGTTCAGCTTGGGAATCATGACCACCCAGGTCCTTGTTGCTGTGCATTGTGCACAAGCCTTTTGCTCCTAAAGCTTGGAGTTGGGGAGTTGATCTTAAGCAAACGGATCAAACAGATCGCAGCTCGAGTGAGTTTGGGACATACAAGTTCTGAATGTGTCAGTCATGTGATAGAAAGTACTCTAAACGGCAAGCAGCTAATCCTCATGGAACACAGTGCAAACAACAACTTGGTTGAATGCAAAACGGTAGTAATTAGTAACAACTACTCACAAGGTTCCTTCTCTGCAAGACATACATAAGTTTTACAATATTCGAGATGTCACTCTTGATAAAACCACTTTTTGAGAGAACGTCTATTCAGAATGGTGTCCGATGCGGCTTCTGCGAAGATCACCAAAAGCTCAGGTGCGAAGTCTTCTCCTGGGCAATTTGACAGAGATCACACCATGCCGCACTGGGGCACTGAGATGTACCAGATCTACTGTGAAATTCTGGTCGGCTTCTCGAGTAGAATGATCGCGAGCTGCAGCTTGCCTAGCTGGCTGATCTATCTTGAACAATTTCCATGACTGACGGCACGAGAGTATCTGCGTAGAAGGCCATGGAGGTCTTTTCTTCAAGGAACGCATCCCCTCAAGATCAATGAAGAAAGTGTGATATGTTGGAATTGGATGGGGCACTGACTAATGAACTAGTATGCTGAGCACGGGGCTTCATTGTGAAGCACTCAGTTCCCCTAAAACTCCCGAGGTGGTTTGGTTCTGTCACACTCGTGTAATTCCCAATGACTATGCCAGTGTTCTTAGAAGCTTCCATTCTGATGAATCAAGCACCTCAAGTATCTTGCAGTTTCGCCCTTTATTCTCAGGCTTTTCACCATTCCCTTATCCTTCTTCACATTGCAAGACCAGATTCCGATGGTGAATCGACTTGCATTGCCCTGAATGATGGCGAAGGCATCATTCACCAGCTTCGAAGCCCTTGGCGGAGGTTCAAATGAGAGGGTCCTTCAATTTCGACAGCGTTACTACTAGTATAGGTAGTAGCTTAAGTAAGCTACTAGCTACCTAGCTACCTCTAGCGGCCTACCCCGCCCCTTTAACCAAAAAAAAGTTGGAAGAACCTCCAGTTTTATTTCATTTCAATTCCTACAAGGCAAAAACTCAGATTCTGAAGCTCCGACTGCTAGGCTCGGGCCCCCGCTGTGTTGGCTCAGTGGTACGTTGCGCTTCATGGATCAACCGCCGGAGGTGGTAGTCCGTCGAGGCCATGCCTAGCACAAGAAACAAATCGGATTGGGATTATCATTTCATTGGCAGGCAGCATGTTCATGTTCTTGTCTCTATCTTCCTGGACCCCAGAAAGCTCGTGTCCATAAGACTATTAGATCTCTAGATCTCTAAATGACCTGTTAGGTGCTGGAGTGTGACTTAGTGATGTAATTCGTGAGAGATTGTATCTATCTGGTGGTTCAAGTGCAGCGCAAGATCTGGTTCTGTGTTTCACTGCTCTAGTTGGACTACACGGACAACCACACACAGAAGCATTCGCCGTCTTTGGTTACTAAAGTTCCAAACTTATCAGGGCATGAACACAGTATGAGGGGCTGCAAATGGGTGGCTTGTTAAAAGATTTCCTTTTTGGCACGTGATTCTTGGCAATCAAGAAAGGCACACCTCCGTCTGACTCTGCTCCGGCCTCCTTATGCAAAGACCTGGCATGCGGGTGGATCGATTCGGGACGTGTTCTGAATAAGCAAAGGTCAGATCTGTGGCACTTGGAGGTTGTTTGCATGTTGCGGGTGGTGCTCAGCACAAACTACAGGAATTCACCTGCTAGTGCAAGATACCCCGACCCTCTTTTTTAATGCTTGTGATACCAGGACTAAGATCAATTCGTACCTTCGCAAGACTTCCAGCAGCCCATGTTAACAAACTAGCATCATTGACGAGCTACCTTTCACGCCTTTCATGCCCTTTCAAAGCGGTTCTATTCCCTTCTTGTAAATTCTTTGAGCATCCAGCCCAGCGGAGAACAGTGGCACCTTGAATTCGATCTGCGCTTTGCGCAAGATGATTGAGCATCACTGTCGAAAACGACTCTGGAGTGTGCTTTGAAGGTTGGCTGGGGTTGGTTGGCAATGGGTGCTGTTGCCCTGGACGACTGTTCTGGGTTGTCCTCGAACAATGCATACCACACATGACATGACTGTATTGACCAGGTGGTCAACTGGTGAAACATTCTCAACACTTTGAACCGACTCTGCAATGGCAAGCCACACCAGCCAGGTACACGATGGAGATCAATGGATTGATGTCCGGTCAAAACCCAAATGTGCTCTGATACGTCCTTGCTAACCAAACTGTTGCCAAATTAGCTTGGAAAGGATCAGGGTGTTGCCCTTCAAAGGAAAATGTAGAAATCCTTCAAGACATCTTGCTCTCACGAGGATTCTTTCTCTCCGATGATGCTGATAATCGTCTGTGCAGACCCACCTGTTCCACAGCTAAGCCATGGGAATGAATGAATTTCATCTCGGGTTCACGTCATGGCTGAGATCACAAAACTGCAAAAGATTCAAAAGACCACGGCGAGGATGGTACGTGAGACGGCCTGTGAACGGCCCGAACACTCTGCGATGAGTCAGTGTTCCTTTCAGAAAAGCAAAATGATCCATCTTCATTGCTTCTTCATGATGTTACTCAAGTAGATCGCAGACTATTTTCTGTGCATATGTTTGTTTCTTCCCACACTGTGTTTTGGTTGGACAGCGATCGCGGAGAGTGCTAAAATGCGCCCAAGCAATCCAATGAACCAAATGGCCCATGTCATGTTCTGGAACCATGCACTGAATTAGGCAAAGGCATGCCGAAGCCTTTCCATCTTCGCAAGAAGCAACACCGGAAAAACACCACGCCTTGCCAAAGCAGAGGTTTTGGGTGTGGAGTATCTTGTAGACTCCATAAAGCAAATCCCGACTTGTACAGGATCCGCGGAGATTTGCAGGATCAACTGGGAATGACCAGAGGAATCCTGCGAATTCGGCCTGTACAGCTCATGCCTTGCAAGTCCTGCTCACTCTTGGAGCGTGCGAAACATAGAATTCACTCCCAAACGCCATGGACTATTGCATATCTTTTACAAGAAAAACCGAAAGAAAACGCACAAAGACACATCAAACCCATGATCTCCAGCGATTCCGATTCCTGTCACCTGCCCAAAAGACACATTCTTTCAGCATTTGGATCGAGACTCACAGGCCATAGCCTGGTTACATGGGAGTCTCCCAGTGCATCAGCAAACGCACTGAACGAAGCCTGCGGGCGCCTTGAGGACGAGCCACGACTGTGCACTGTGGGCAGTGACTGTGGGAAAAGCGCCCCAACGAAGCCGTGGGATGTACTGAGACCCCGTGACACATCGTGACACGATGTACTGAGACATCTGTTGGAAGATGTGTTCTTCACTTTTGCTTCAAAAAAAGGAATCTGAAGATTAAAGTGATGAAATAAGA